GGTAGACCAACTTAGCTGTAATGTGAAACTTCACCCCAACTCAGCTGTTTGCAGTTCCGCAGCTGTGGTTCCCTTCAGTTTCACCGGTGGTTTGGAAGATCTATTATGTGTGAGTGGTTTAGGCTACAGAGCTATAAAAAAACCTTGAAATTAAACTAGGTATTAGGCTTTCCTGAAAGATTTTAAGAATCATGATGCACGATGCTCAGACATACAAGTCTGCCTTGCTGACAGGAAGCATTTTAGCAACTGCACAGCGCTCTGTTGTTCGTCAGGTAAAGCAGAGGACCTGAGGCTCCAATGTAAATATTGCGTATGAGGAATGTGCGGACAACTCAGTTTTAACCTCTTTTTGGATGAAGGCAGAGCTAGTCATCCTGCAGCCTATGGTTATGGAGTGTGCTTGTGAACACTTCCTGGTTTGGGGCATTTGCCCATTGTCTTCCAAAAAGAGTGCTGTAGAAGGTACCCTGCCAGTACTTTTACAGAAGCCATACAATGTAGGACTTGGGAGCGAGTGTCATTTTAGACAGTCAAAACTGCCATACTGTAGGTGCCTTTGTTACCGAGCTTTTATTAGTTTTCCATTTAGCAAGGCAACTTCAACTTTAGTTAGATTGGATGCGAAGACTTACAGGCAAGTTTGACTGAAATGATCATCTGTACCATTTCAATCCTGCCAACTACTCTCATCATCTTTTCTTTAAAAAAAAATGTTATTTCTGTCTACCTTGCCTTCTGCAAGGACTATGAAACCTAGTGTAAGAGGGAAGAAAGTCATACTCTGCTCACTAACTTCAGATGTCTGCTTTTCCTGCAGGTAAACTGTGTGGTGATGCGAGGCTTCAATGAGGATGAACTGCTGGACTTTGTGGATTTCACAAAGGATCTACCCCTTGATGTGCGGTTCATAGAATACATGCCCTTTGACGGTAAGCGGTCTTGCTTTGAGATTCTTCATGGCATGAGGTGTGCCTTGGACATAGGTGAATCTGGTGGTTATTCACCCTGTGGGCTTATCTCTAGAAGTGTTGGTGAGCTCTTTTGGGTAATTAGGAATTGCCTTAAGTTTTGTGTTGTATTTTTTGCAGCTTATCTTCCCTGGAGAAGCTTGAGAAGGATTAGTAGCAGGATTACTTGGGGACACCTATAGGGAAAACTGAGATTTGTGAAGAATGTAAAGGTGGTTCTCTGCTAATTAAAACAAATAAAATTGATAGTCTAAACTTATGCTGGTTTTGTTACTTCTAGGCAATAAATGGAATTTCAAGAAGATGGTGAGCTACAAAGAAATGCTTGATACAATCAAACAGCGATGGCCTGAATTAGAGAGATTGCCCTGTGAAACTTCCAGCACAGCCAAGGTGGAGATAGACAAAACACGTGAAATGTACCCTCATTCTTTCCCTGCCCTAAAGCCCCAAATTCTCCCAAGTTCATCATTATATTTGACAAGCAAAGTAAAAATTACTCGGTGTAGTAATTCTGGGATTTTGGTCAAGCTGCCTGCATGTGGTTTGACTCTAAACACTGGTCATAATATTTACTTCTAGAGATACAATGTGTTTAATAGATGCCTCTGTCAGATGTAAAAAATGGCAGGCTTGTATCCTGTATTTACAGCTTTTGAACCTTTAGTCAGTCTATGTCTGTTTGTCTATGACTGCACATTAGTGAGCCTGATGAAACAGTTGTTCAGTGAAATAAGAGTATTGCTTTAGAGTGTGCAGTGTCACATAGAATCATAGGATAGTTTGGCTTGGAAGGGACCTTTAAAGGTCATCTAGTCCAAACTCCCTGCAATTAGCAGGAACATCTTCATCTAGATCAACCAGATATCTAGGCTACATAAACCTATAGCTCATGGCTGCCTGAGGAAGAACTTGCCTACTGGCATCACCTGTCATTTGATAACTACAAGAGCAAACATACAACAACTTTGTGAATTTCTAGCAACGGGGCAGAATAGACTGGGAACTCCTGACAAAGCTGATTTTGAGGGTGTTTTTTCTGGGGGGAGGTTCCCTCTCTCATGTGACCTTAGAACCAAGAAAACCCATGTTAAAATGTCTTCCGTTCTTTGGGCAAGTGGAACTTTAAAAGTGAGGAGTCTATATTTGACTTTTTTTTTTTTTGTCCTCTGCATTTCTTTAGAGTTATAAGGTGCCACATTTCCGGGGACAAATCAGCTTTATCACCTCCATGTCAGAGCACTTCTGTGGATCCTGCAATCGGCTGAGGATAACAGCAGATGGGAGCCTAAAGGTTGGTAGTGAAACATTATCCTCTTTGCTTTCCTGCAGTGAAACTAGTGTTGAAATTCTTCCCTTAAAAGTAGCTGGGATGTAAAGTAGCATGGAAAGATGTATGAGTATTACCAGCTAACTCCGGTTTATCTGTCCTATTTGAATTCTTATTGAAGCTTGTTGGGCTATTAGGGAGATGTTACATCACCTTTTTTTGGTTTCTCTGTTTTACTAACATAGTTAACTTGAGTTGTAAAACATGGTTGCAAGGCCGGTAAATATAAACGTTTATTTTAATCTTTGATTCAAAATCATCTTAAACATGTGACAAGCAGATGATTTCCTATTAAAAAAGGATCCAAGCAGCTGCGAGGGCTTGGCTTCTGTGTTCCACAAGCATCCTGTCTTGTTTCGCCAAACATCTTGCAACTCTTCTCCTTCTAGTGCAGCTTGTACATTTGCTCAACGGCTGTAGAAAGGGGAGGGATAACCATTTCCTGCCACGTTGAAACTGGCGGTTTCTGGGGGAAAATTAAAGTTTTCAATTAAAAATTGGCACTTAGGCATTGTCACCTGATGTTGACAACAGCTGTGCTGCTGTCTAATGTCAGATGACCCAGGCAGCCTGAAGGCCCAATGAGTTTAGGTTACAGAAATGTCCCAGACTGTCTGTGTGTACATGGAGAGATAAAGAAAACAATCTCCATAAACGTTCTCTTTCTTCAACAGGGATAGGCCTATTCAAAACTCTTTACTCCGAGGTTAGCAAGAAATACTTGTAAAAGCCATTTATTTTATTCTTTCTCATTTCTCTCGTTTCTGTGGGTTGGCTGCAGGTGTGCCTTTTTGGGAATTCAGAAGTGTCCTTGAGAGATCACCTACGGTCAGGTGCCTCAGAGGAAGAGTTGGTTCAAATCATTGGAGCAGCAGTGGGCAGAAAAAAGAAACAGCATGCTGGTATGTTTGTTGTACCTGAGAAATAACAGCAGTGACTAGGGAAAACAATGCCCTGGTACTGCTGTGGGATGCATTGACTTGCCAGGAGAAAGAATTAAGTTGCATTAACTAAGGAAAGAATTCTCCCATCTCGTAAGAGTACTGTTTGGTAGAAAGCTGGTACCATATGTCAGTCCTGCAGTCACTCCAAAATGTGGATGTCGGTTTTCAGTCTTCTAAGCTTCCATGTGAGCTAGAATCTAGACGGTCTAAAAGTCTTTCAGATGGACTTTTGTCTTCAAAGAGATGCAAATACCACTGCTCGTGATAACAACTGCAAAGTGTAAAGCTAAGAAAAAATTGATGGAGTTGTACTGCGTCCATTTTTTTCTTAAAATTAGTTTGCTGTAAAATAACAACTAAAGCTCAATTTAGCTGTTAGTTCCAACTAGTGCATTAACATGTTTCTAGAAGTGACAAATCTCTTTTATGCAGAAATTTGTAGCCACTCATCTAGTGCTCTGCATAAGGTCATGACACAAGGTCCATGATGATGCAGTTGCATCCTCAGGCTGTATTAGTCTTTTCTGAATTTATATTGGTATAAACTATATTTCGGTCACATCTGAACCTAACGATATTCTTGTAATCTGGTTGCAGCTGGGAATGCTGACCTCTTGTACATGAACTGTCTTCATGATCATGGAATAGTCCCCTTTACACTAAAAATATGCTTTGGCCCTTTTGTTCTCTTGCAGATCCTGCCAGATTACTAACAGTTGGTTTTGCCTTTTTTTTTTTTTGTGATGTGTAAAGCAAATTTAAAGGAAGCTTTTAAATCTTAGCATAGACTAAGTATATTGCTCTGACCCAGATAAAATAGTTCCTTGTAAATGTAAGGGAAGGGGTGGAGGGATTGGTTCCTTTTCTTTTAGACTATTCAGGGGAAGGGGGGCAGGGGAGGAAGAGTGTTTTCCCCTCTAGTAAAGGCATTTTGCCATCAGCAGCATTTACCTGATATTGTCTGTCTTCTTCCAATTTGTGTTAATCCCAGTATTGTCCCTGGGGCCTTCTGTGACTGCACTTCTTCTGAACTGGAACACTGTTAACGGCTTATCCGTAAAACTAGTATAGTTATATGCTATTGTTAAGAAACAAGATAGTCCTAAGCTGTTTGAATTCTGTAGTAGGTAGACTGTAACTCAGATTATGGAAAGCTTTCTGGGAAAGGGTAGTGTGATAGACCCATAGCAGCTGGATGCTTGGAGACTGTGGCAGCTCTGGTTTCAAATAATTCTGTATGAGATTCCCCCTTCTCCAGCTCCCGTGGTCTTTATTCAGCTTTGGTTTTCCTAGCATGCAGGTTGCACTGTGAAGAGCAGAAAACTAAATACATAGACCAGATGCATGGCTTAAAGCTAGGTTTTTTATGTGTTCCTTATTTTATTTCTAGGCATGTTTAACATTTCCCGGATGAAAAATCGGCCAATGATCCTGATTGGTGGGTGACAAATCAGTACGTAATAAACATACCATGATTTTGGTTGTTTTTTGTCTTTGGGGGAGCAGAGTGGATTGGGCTTTTAAGTCTAACTTGTGTTCAGTTCTGGCTTAAGATTAGACAAAGAAGTCAGTTTCTTAAAAGGCACTTGTGGTTAAAATCATGCTGAAGTGGAAGAGGAGGAAAGATTTAATGTCGCTACTAAGCCTTCCCCGATCTTCTCATTGACAGCACTGGTTTTGTTTTCTCTGCTTTTGAAAGTTCATTACATTTCCAAAGGGATCACTAGCATTCCTGTTATTTCCTATCTATCTACTTCCTTTATACTTAACAAGAATAGCATAGTAACTAAGGCAGTTTGGGGTGAGCTTTAGGAAATTGATCAAATTGCCATATAAACATAAAGGACGCAGGATGTATTTTTATCCCTGGATTAAGAAATTCAAATTTTATTATAATATATAGAGCCAGTAACCTGACAGAAATGCAAGTTTTCCCACCTCACTACTACTTTACTTCAGAATCAGAAACTTAGGGTTTCTTTTTTTTGAAATGTCCTCTTACTGCTGCAAAGTCTCAGAACATAGCCATGAAAGCTGTAGTACCTGGTATCTGACCATGCCTATGGGCAAGAGCTTTTCTTCTCCTTGTTGTCTCTGCTGAAGATGTTTGCTAACTCTGCCTTTGGCTTGAAGCTCTGTTCATGAGCAATGTGGTGCTGCTTGGGTTCTCTTTCTTACTGATTTTTCACATCTCCTTCAGTGTGGTTTTACCTCCTCCATGCCTATGTTTCCCCATCTTGCAAGATAGCTATCTATCTTCCCAAATACCTTTTTCTTCCTTAGACTTAAGAAATGCTTGTGAGAGTTGGCACTGTGAGATTTAGTGGAAGCTGTTCTATTGTTTCTTGTCAACAAAGAAGGAAAAAATACAGCAAGGGTAGAAGAGGTAAACATTATGTTTCAAACCCTAACTCTCATCCTCCCCGTGATGGTCTGGAGCAGGTTAGCTGCTGTGCAGCTTAAAACAGCTTTTAAAACAGGTACCCTTGGCAGGGAAGGGTAATGTGCATAAATTTGCAGGTATTTGCTACAGGTGATTGATATAAGAAGTAAGTAAGTAAGTACTCTATTTTAAACCAAAACACTAGTGCTTGTACTTTTGTTACCTTTTTTGAGAAATAGGATCTACAGAGGTCTTCTAACATAATTACTGTTTTCACTGGGAATATTTTTCACCTGATGCTCCCCTTCAAAAGGCCATCATTTTCCATGTTGAGTTTTAAAGTGAACGGATTCAGTGGTGCAAGATTGTCTGTTTGTTTTTGCTCTTTTGTATTTGGCCACTCCTGTGGCAAGATCCAGAAAAGGGAAAAAAGAGGAGCCTTTGTTTAAAGTGTGTATTGACTTGCTGCAAGAGGAAAACTTCTCTTGAGTTTTTTAGAAGATGAAAAATACTGTATTAAACTCTTGACAGCTCACTGGGACCTACGTTATTTTTCAAGATGCCTTTGAAAGAATCCCCACACTGCAAAGTTAGGATTCATAGCAATGTTTGGGTGTCTACAGATCAGAGCCATCCAACTTGCTTTTGAAAAGTGCTTTAACATTGTCTGACATACAGTAAAAGAGGCAGCCTGTCTGGATCTTCCCCTAGCTGTTCCATGTCCCTTCGAGACAAGTGCTGGCAGTCACTGCATCAGTGGAGAGTATCCCACTGTGACACATGGGGAATCATAAGGAGATTTCCTAATTGTGTTTTGGATTACTTGCACACCAGCATTATTTGAATTTTGTAAGCACAGTCGGGGGGGGATGTGTGTATGGAATTAATTTAATGAAACTTAATGAATGCTGTGGAAGTCACTAATTGGTTTTGCTAGTCCCAGTAAGCCAGAACTGGCTTCTTCCCTGCACTGCTATTGTGTGATCCTTTGCTTTATGGTTTGTAACCTATTCTCCTTAATGAAAATATTCCTTTTGGCAGGTTGTTCTTCTCATGGGGTTGCTTCAGTTATGGGAATTTCCTCCTTAGTTTAAGTATCTATCATCTCCTGCCTGCCTTCTTTCCCTGCACACCCCCCCTCCCGATTGTGCTAGTTGGAAGCTAAACATGGTTAAACTTCAGGTGCAGTAATAGAATAAAAGGAGATAGATCCAGTTTGTCAGATGGTTTCAGTTGTGTTATTCATAGTTCTGTAGAAAACCATTATCTGTTTTTTTGTATATATATGAACAATTTGAGTGGAGAGAGAGATGACTAGGTACAACTTGAAGAAAATGTATGTTCTTAGTAATGCATGCAAAGCATCTTTACTTTTCCTATCTGTTGCTTTTTACTTACCACTCTACTTGAGCAAACAGTGTTTCTCTTCCCACCCATTTGTATTTACCCTGTGGAAGTAAGTACTTGTCTGCCTTTGCAGTCCAGCTTCTCCTGAAGACAAGACACCTTGCCAGGGGTTTAGCTTCAACTTTAAAGCTAATCAAGGAATCAAGAAGAACAGACTACTTTGAGTTCGTGGATTTTAAAAGGACTATTCAGATTAGGCCCTGCTGTATAAAGAGAGAAGGAATGAAAGGAGGTACAGCACAATTTTCTGTGCTCTTCTAAAGCAAAGCAATGTTACACTCATGAACATTTATGTTCATTTAATCCCATTCCTCTGAGGGTAAATGCATTACCACTAAACTTGCAGGAATCTTAATTTTAGTGGATAGGCCATCAGCTGTAGACTGAAAAGGGCCTTTGCCTGAATTTAGATTATTGCAGTGATTTCTAAAAAAAATCTATGGTTGATAAAGCTTCGGTAATGGGTACTTTCAGATCAGTGTTTGGAGGGTACTCTAGGTGAAAAAGCTGCTAAGCGCATCAGTCTTGTTATAGCAGAGGCTGGGAGTAACAAGGAAGAGCTTGGTTTTTAAAAGAGAGGGCAGGGGGCCACAACCAGTGCGTTGTCCACACTGTCTCTGTTATTGTCATGTGGACAGTCCAAGGTGACACCTGTAGGTCTGGGCCGTAGAGGTGTAGAAGGGCCAGGAAGCTGCTTTGACTCACCTGTGGGCAGTCTGAAAACTCATGCATACGGGTGTCCCTTAATACCAGAGCTGTCAAAGGAGGTTATTGAGCAAAACCTAATTCCAAGTTTCTCAGAGCAAGGAGAACACGAGCTCCGTAAAGAGAAACATGCTTATCAATGAGGCCATTAAACTAGAGTTTAGCCACTTACCTCTGTACTGCTTTCTCTTTACTTACAAAACAAATCACTTCTTTTATGTGAAAAAGACTCCTTCTGTCTTGATGCTTGGCATTTAGCCCTGCGGAAATGCCAAAACCAAGTGATTAAATGGTGAAAAGGGGCAGAGGAGGGCTTACTACCGCTCTACCAGCTGGGAGCTCTGCCAGCTTGACTTGGAACATACTTCTGAGTAGATTTAAAATCTATCTGTCAATGAGGAGAGTGTGGATTTTCCAGTGCTTAAACTTCAGCTGTCATTAACATGGTAAGAGCTGGCAGTAGTAAGTGAAGTTCCCATCACAGAGCCACCCTCTGAGCTTGTAGACAGTGCAGTTGTAGATGCAGTACTTCTGGTCCCCACTGTCCTCAAGTGCTGGCATAACCCTTCCCTGCTGAAGGAGATGAAAGCAGGAAGTGCAGCCGCCTGTGCTGGGAGGAAGGTGTTTGGAAAGGCAGAGTTGAGAACCTTGAGTGCAAGAATTTCCCATTAACCCTGCCAGGCTTTCGAAAAACGACTGGTGCTGGGACAGTCTCAAATGGATGCTGAGACTCGCTTTTCTTCAGAACTGATGTTTCTATAAGCTTTCCTGGCTGCTTTCTCTCAATAACTGTTGATACTTCTTGAAAGCAAATTGTTTCTTCCTGTCAAGAACCTTGAAATAAGTGTTTTGAGTCTCGGGGTTTGTAATAACAAGCCAGCAAATGCACGGAACTGATGAGAGAGAAGAAAAAGAGCTTGAGGAGAAAAGTGGATGTTAACAGGCTTATTGAGGTTTTTGCAATACAGGAAGTCCCAAGCCATGCTCTGACAGGCTTCTCAGCTACTGCAGACTTAGCGTAGCTTTCCAATTAGTAAGCTGTATTCTCATGTTACTTTTATTTTTTTTCCCCCAGAGCCTGCACTGATGTCATTCCCACTATGCCAGGATGCCCTACAGAATCCCCCAAATTCAGAACAGTGGGGCCACACATTTAGCCATTGGCTGACTTTGAGAACAAGTTTACCCAAACAAATGGGAAAAGCATTAATGAAAAACAAGCTTACAGGACAACTTTTTCCACCAGGATCTTACCCAGAGCAACAGTGGCACATAAGTACAGGAATTCTACAAACCCAGCTCAGAGGCTGCTGTGTCTTCCAGAAGGACCCAAGCTCCACGTTTGACACAAAGTGCCTTGAGGCTTCTCCTGTTGGCCAAGTTTCTGTGGACTGTCAGTCCAAAGAGGCAAGTCCAGGATCTGAATTCTGTACCAGGGATTTGGGATCTTGCACTGAGGTACCTCGTGGCCCTGACAACTTGACTCACACTGATGAGGAAGGACGGGCCACAATGGTTGACGTTGGAGGGAAGCCAGATTCAAGAAGAAGTGCTGTTGCTGGTGCTGTGGTCCGCCTGGGTGAGAAGGCGTTTGGGATGGTGAGGCAGAACCAGGTGAAGAAAGGGGATGTGCTGGCAGTAGCCCAGATTGCAGGAATTCAGGGAGCCAAGCTGACCAGCCAGTTGATCCCGTTGTGTCACAACATCCCACTCAATCATGTTGAGGTGTCTCTGAGCCTGGACGAGGCCAGATACGCAGTGGTGATTCGCAGCTCCTGTCAGACCTGGGGGAGGACAGGTGTGGAGATGGAAGCTCTAACAGCTGCCAGCCTGGCTGCCCTGACTGTGTATGACATGTGCAAAGCAGTTACTCATGACATTGTGATCGAAGAGGTGAAGTTGCTTAGTAAGACAGGTGGGCAGAGGGGAGACTTCTCAAGGGTCTAGGTCATATCCAGACACCTCCAGCCCTCCACGTGACCACTGCTCATGTTCAGCCTCTTGCAGAACTACTTGGGGGACTCAGCAGGTATACCATATAACCACACTACCCCTCCAGGTTTGCCTTACCCTGTCAGCTTATTGCTGGGTGAGCGGTGGAGCCAAATATCCCTGCTGATAACCATGCGTGTTTTTTAGAGGACACACTTCTTCATTCTACCAGTACCTTCATGTCAGTGTCCTTACCATGAGCTTGAACAAAGATTCCTAGTTAGACCACACAGGTGGTGGTTGTTTTTTTAGTTCTTGCTATGAAATACTCATAGCTGCTGTCATCATACCATGCAAGTGTGTGAGCTCTGGAAATGAAGTGCTGAAAGTGCTGTTATTTGGCAACTATGTTTAAGTCAAGGATTATGATTTCAGAATTTTATCTGTCCATCCATCCCCCTGACCTCCTTAGCTGAATGTAGAAGGTGACAGTGAGAAGAACACAGCTTGACAACCTTACCATACAGCAGAGATTGGCTGTTCCTCAGTTACAGGGTCAGAGGGGCAGCTCCTACCCCTTTGCATTGCTACTGCTTCCCTTGCCTGCTAGTGGGAAATATCCACGTACCAGTTTCAAAAGAAAAAAAAAAGATGGCAGCTGCCATGTTCTCTGCCTTGAGTGCTCAGTAAAACATGATGTAGAAACAGAGGATTTCTGGGTTTGGAAGAATTATTTAGCTGATCTGAAAGATATACCTTTTATAACATTAGAAGCATGTTCCAGCATGTTGACCTTAGCACTCAAATACATTGAGGCCCTGCATCTGCATGCTTAAGGGCTTAATTATGCCATGCACAGAAGTAGGTGTCTGTTCTCCCTGACTTCTGAAATACATGTCACACCAAGCCCCAGAAGACTCCCAATTTTTTAATCCTACAGTGCAGCTCCTAGTAACAAGCAACCCACGTAGTCCTGACAAAACAAACTTTAAGACTAGTAGCCACTTGGAAGAGTAAGGTAGTTGCTGTTGCCTTGGCCACAGTGTTTTTCTGCATGTTTCTCTAATTTTCTTTCATGAAGTCTTTTGGCCTGGGAACACTTAAGTTTAGTCCCCATAAATGTACCAGTGGCCACTGTTGTGTAGCATTAAGTAACTTTGATAATTGTCTATGCTAGATAAGAAATTACTCAACACTCTTGTTAATACTGGTGGCTCCTTTTCAAATGTTAATTTAAATGCTCTAAATAGGGTGTTTTCAACTTTGGTTTACTTGTCTTCTAGGGCTTATGGCTAATGTGAAGTTGCATATGATTCAGGGTGCTCCCTCTCCATACGCACAGAGAGTTGAAGACAGCTCTAACAGTATCAGAGGCTACCAAAAAAGCATCTTAAACTTTACAAGTAGCTGCTTCTCATGGAGTAAGGTTGAATTACTGTGAGCATCAGTAAAGCATACACCACACAGTCACACACATCCTGCTCATTTAGACCTGTGCTTCCTTTAAGATGAGGAGGAAATAGGCTTTACTACAGCTCCGTTACAATCTCACACGCTAGCTACCACAAATGGCACTTTTCCCATTGCGGGTGAATTAATTTGATTCTTTATTCATTGTCATTGTGAGATAAGGCACATACAATGACACACATAGCAGCTACAGCTGAAAGGAGAAGGAGTCCGGAAAGCTTGGTGCCCAAACTCCATGAACATTTCAAATACCTACATTTGGTGTTTTAGCCCCGATTCCCTTGATATGGCTGAGCTGTCTGTAAGTTAATAGTAGGGGCACTCCTGTTCCTTCCCAGGAGCACACTGAGCATCAACAATCACCCCTGGGTCTGCAAATACAAGAGACCATGTTCATCTGTGGAGCTGCTGTGCCCGTAGCACAAAAGTTTCCTTAGCTTGGCATGGAAACAGATTGCCAGGAAAAGGAAGCACGTGTGTAGCCTGCTAAGTTAATGGATTTACACAAGCACTTACCCCATGCCCCCCATGCACAGCAGACCCTCCCCTCCCTGCCTTCACCCAGCCTCTAGATAGTTTTGAAAACTAAAAGGAAACTAGACTTATTCAGTAGTAATAAAATGATGCTTTGGGGTATATGATTCTTTGGCTTCTGAGAAGTTTGCTGTCATGCTGTAAAGCTTACACAAAGGATTCAAGACCATACAAGGGACTACAGAGCACACGCATGACTGCCACGCACATCTTACTACGTACGCACATCTCACTACTTTCTTGGGTCAAGAGTGGCTGGAAGCTCTGGGCAAACAGACTTTGGTGCCATTTTACGCTCATGTTACATTATCGAGTCTTGAAACTATGCACATTCATAGATAATGAACCAAGCATGAGTCAACAGAACATTTTGCAAGAGAAGTGAGCTGACAGCACTGTGTTTCAGTGGTGCTGGTTGGGCAATGGTGTAATATATGTTGATGAACTGACTACTGTTCGGAGGCTTGCTTTTTTTTGTCTGCTGCATTTTTAATAAATACTAGTTGTAACAGAGTATGTTTCTCATTACTTTGAATATCCTTTTTGTTCACTCAAAGGAACATTATGTTTTAATCCACAAGCTTCTATGAATAGTTAGCTCAGGACAAGCAACAAGACAGACTTTAGAAGTTGCAGTGATTAGTCAGCAATTAGCAAGGGATCAGTCACAATAACTTACTACTATAAGGAATCTATTCTTTCTTTTTTTTGTTGAGTGAAACTCATCTCTATCTGGCTGTTCTTAAATCGAGTAATCCTGTAGGGTTAGCATCATAATTTATCATCTCTCATCATTAGCCTAGCTTCCCTCACGTGCTGTGTATAACAGCAGTGCTTTGTTTTGCAGAGTAACCTAAGGAACTGGTGCCTCCAGACCTGTCCCTTTTAGTCTGAGTGACCGTATGCTGAAGCTGAGATCTGGGCCAAGTGCCTGTATAGGAGTCCATCCCTCCTGAATCATGAGTAAGTTTAAGGGAACTTGCCCTTCTGATCCATCTGAGCTGCCAGGAAAGCTCTCACCTCTTCTATATCGAGAGGGCCTGAGGAAGTTTTAGTCGATAGAGGTGTTTGCTAAGCAGCCACAGTGCAGCACAGGTGTTCTGCAAGAGGGCAGAGACAGTAGCTCCTGCCAGAGGGTTTCTCTCCAAGTACAGCCTCCAACTGCTGCCGATCCTGGGATGACACCACAAGGCTTCACAGCCTTTTTCTAGGAGCTGCTTTCTAATTTGCAACCAGGTTTTTTAAGATTTAACCAAAAGAAATGGCGTAAAGTGCTTGAGCCCACCACCTCCTTCTGAAGGGTGCCATCAATCCAGGGTGGTGCTGGATTAATGGTTGGACTTGGTGATCTTGAAGGTCCTTTCCAACCTAGTGATTCTGTGATCAGAGCACAAGTGGCACCACTAACGCCGTGCATGCCAAACACAACACTAATGCAAACACTGCAGATCGTGGCAGCCCTCACAACGCGTGCGCAGTACAGCTTTTGCCTGCTGGAAACTCTCACTCATCCCAGCTAACGTCCCATTCGTGTGTTACTGTCTGTTCACTGCTAATCCAGCCTGCGTCTTTTGTGGCGGCTCAGCCCGTCTTTCCTTCACAGCCACAGCCTGAGGCTAGTCACCCCACCCTCAGACTGCCCTGGAAAAAATTTGATGCTGCATATAAAGGAGAAGCCAGCAGAAGCTGGTCACCAAGTATTCTTAAAGAGATTAAATCTATGTCAGGGAGAGCAGTGCTTTCAGACAACGCCGGGGGAAGAAGACCAGGGCATAGAGGGAAGATGTGGCTTGAAATACCTTGGGAAGGGACCTCTTCTACTGAATGGGAACCACTCAAAACCAGACTCTAAAAGCAACAACAGCTGAGCACTAAAAAGGGGAATGAATTTTTAGCTATTCTAAGCCACTGGTGACCTGCAGTAATTCTCTAAGTCGCTGACGTTACTCAGCTTTACATGGGATTTGACTGAACAGAATCTGGCCCTTCGTCCCACCCCTTCCTTGGCCCTTCGCTAGTTTGCAGCTCCTCCTGGCTGCCTCAGCAGCAGCTATGCAGGCATGTAACAGCTTAAAAATGGCTGTAACATCGTGTGTGCTTTGGCCAAGACACAGGACTGCTAATTAGTTAAATGGAAACACAATTCACTTCCCTCCACTTACTAGAAGCCTTGCTCCAAGAGGAGCTTAGCATTTCAGGGAACCTAAAAGCAGCTGGAGGAGTTCTGGTTGCAGTGGGCTGACTGGGCTTTCATTTTTTTGAGACTTCAGGTTAAAGCCTCAACTTAGGTCTCACAACCAGTGGACCTGAGGGGTGCTGCAAAGCCACGACGATAGCAGGCAAACCCCTGACACATCTGGCACGCTCCCCGGGAAGGGACAGGGTGGAGCGGCTGAAGCCTTTTTCACAGGCTGGGCCTGAAGGCCTTTGGGTGAGCTCAGTGCACCCTGTCATAAAAGCAGATTCTGATTCTGGTCACACCAAGCTTAACCAGTGGTAGCTGAGCCACAAATCCAGCTATCTCTACCTTCCCCTGTCCCTCCACGCTGCCAGTGCCATGGTTAGAAAGCTTTCAGTTTAGCGTCTCTATCTTTGTACTTCGCTCTCCTTTGGGGAGCGACGGGTACCCAAAATAACAGTGGTGAAGTGCAGTGAGTGCACAGCAGGCATCGCTCAGTTTCATGTGCACAACCCAACTGCAATGGCACGGCCATGGCCATCACGCAACCTGCCTAGTGTCCGTGGCTCTCCAAGGTGCCATCCACAGAGCACTGGCTCCATGGAGCAAAGCTTCCCACTTCATTATTGCTTAAGGGTCCCTTTCAGAACCCCAAATTAGCAACAGTGTTACAAAGACAATTGCTTCATCAACAGCTCCATCAACAGAAAGGGCATAGAGCTTATCCTTAAATTCTGGAGAGCCCACTCAAACAAGAAACTCTCAGTGCTACTAAGCTGTTCCTGCAAGGACTTAGTCTTAAAAATAAATGCAACAGAAACACATATAGCCA